ATTCGGATAAAATTGAAAAACTAATATAAAAAAACAATTCGGTTGCTTGCTTGCAACTATTTTCCAAGCAAAGTAAGAGCGCGATTTTACCATGTGTAACGTTACTGTTTAAACGGCGGATAAAGCAGCTTCATCATGGCAACTTGACAACAGCTAAGCTAAGCTAGGCTAGTACTTACAGCATCCGGTGACTTTTTAGAGTTGTTGTGCCACCGTGGTAGGCCAGTTTCTTGTCGCATATTTGGCACACTGCCTTCTTCTTACCGTCGTCCAATTTAAAATGGTCCCACACAGCTGAAGTCTTGAGATGGGTCTGGCTGCAGACCGCAGCAAGGAGGCGGATCGTATAGGGGCGGATCGTATAGGGGCGTTTCCTAATTTTTTTTATCCAATAGAATAATGACACTCAGCAGAAATACATACTGTAGGTGGCAGTAATACAATTTAAGGGATTCCAGCTGCTTTTATAAATCCTCGCAGAATAAGTCATTCGTTCTTTCACGATGGCCGAACAACAAGTTGAAACAGTGGTAATAGTATTTTCCAGAGATGCATGTTTATATTTATTGTAATGTCATTTTTCTTAACACACAATTGTCTCGTTATCAAAGTACAACATCGACTGTCCAACCTCGTTAAGCGTTAATAAAGTAAATAATAGTTGTATGTGGTAAAAATGTTTGTGGTATTAAATGCTAACTTAGCATTATGCTATAAACACGTTGGCCTATAGTCCCGTTTGCAACCAGGCCTACTCTACTGTTGTAATAACGTTAAATTTAGATAGGTCAATAGATTATCAGGCTCGGTAACAATACTGATTTGTGTTACCAAAGCTGATCATCTAATTGACCTAAGGTTAGCGTATATGCTGTGATGCTAACCAGCACTTAGCATGATGCTAGTGTACTGTTGTGTACTGTTGTATTATCTTGGAAATATAAGTAGGCCTGCCCTACATACTGTAACTTAATCAAATAATATGGTATGGATTCGGATAGACAACATGGCTAGCTTGGTTGGTTGAATTGAGTAATAAGATGTGCGGTACTGATTTAAGGTTGTAACTGTAACAGTTTGTAACTACTAGTTGTAATGAATCAGACGAGAGACGGACGCATCCTTTCAGTAAATGTCGGCTGCTAATCAATATGTAAAAATAACACATCGGATGTGTCTTCTATAATTATGTAACATTAGTTATGGCATCATCAGACATGTGGTAAAGTAATAGGATTAGAGAAGAGTCACTGGTCATCTAACACATGCTTAATAGCTCACCTAACACTATTAAAGACAGGTTAAAGAATGTAACATAATAAAAACGTCCTAATATCGATAAGCAAAAACACAAGTTATATTATACAAATTATGTGACCCCTTGAGCTGCATAAACTAATAAGAAATCCAATTAAAATATAAATATCAAAGCTCATTCAAAAACTCGGAAGGCTACAGGGGACATGGGCGCGGAGGACAACTCTCTGGGATGTACTCGGAAGATGAGCTGGCAGGATTCTGCAGCATTGACTGTTTCTATGATGCTGGAGGCACCTTCCAAGAATAACATGTTTGTTTAATAAAGACTTTCCTCTTTGTATGTACTATATATATTTTTTTATTAATCTTACCACCAGACACAACCTGAACAAATGAATGATACACATCAGGACAGTAACTTAAACTTCAGTATTTTAGGTGTACAGAAACCTCTACTCATGTTGTTAAATGATATACAGCAATATCTTCCATAAAACGTAGTTGATTGATTTGAATAATAATTACTAGTACTGCACAAACAGTGAAACATAATATGCCTACAATTTATGAATTTGTCTTCTCTGTGGGTTGTATACTCTTCATTCTTTATGCAAATTAATTATAATTATTATTTTTCAAAGTTCGTTTATGATTCATTCAAAGCATTCAAATAAATCAGAAACAGAGAGCGTCATATACCTTTAAGAAATACGTGGGGGCGGGGTTCATAACCCTTTAGGAAACGCCCGATCCGCTCCTATACGATCCGCCTCCTTGCTGCGGTCTGCAGCCAGACTCTATTGGAAGTCTTCGGCATTTTGTGTTCAGGTGTGTGAAGCGAGGTGAAGCGTGCCGTTTGCGTTCGTAACTGTGAGTGAACGCGATGCCAGGAGCACAGGCTGAGATTGTATATATTTCCGCATTTTAACAGTGCAATTCAAAAGTATAAATATAGTATAAGAATATGGCAATTCTCCTTTATTGATAGCATACATTTAGTAAAAATAAAATACGAATATCCGAATAATGAAATTGAAACCCGAATAGTTGGCCAACGAACGAATATTCGAATAGTCGAATATTCGGGTACAGCCCTATTGGCATCTACTTGAATATAATGGCATTTTTCTAACAACAACAATTGTGCTCTCTACATATATGACTCTCTTGTAAATCTACAAACATCTTTATTTTATAGTCTAGGATATTGTAATTCAAAGATACCCTGTATCTTGAAGTTACGATGCTACCTTTTTCGTACCTCTTTACTGTAGTACCCCAAACAGCACTTTAGATATAGCTGGCTTAGCTACATTTTATCTGCTGATGAATGCGATGGTTCTAAAACAGGGGTGGGGAACCTTTTTCCCCTCAAGGGCCATTTACATGTTTCCAACTTCCTCCGAGGGCCGTACAAATGATTGACCTCTGCTTAAAAATACTAAAATCACAGCCCATTAATTTTGCCTTTCTTTCATGCTGTGCAAAGAAAAAGCAACCTCTTAATCCAGATATCTTACCATGACTCACGCATGCATGCATGTGCACGGTTGTGGCATGACCACCCAAACAGAAAGATATTGGACACAACATGTGTGTAAATGTAGTTTCCTATCCATGTGAACATGATTTAAGTGTGGGGGGGTCTGAAAAGATTTGTTTTTAAAAGCATCAATCTGGTGCACTTTGAGAGCAACATTAGGAGATCTATGGATACATCTCTCAACATCCATATGAAACAGAACTGTAAGAAGATTTTATTTTTATTTATGGATATTTTACAAATTACTCCCCTTTCAAACTGTATTCTTGTTTATTAATAACAACTTTTTTTTTACTGTCATATAATATTTTATACCTGTTTACTTTATTCTCTTATTTTTTTATAACTATAATGATCATGTAAAGATGTGCCTTTACCTCACTGGTTGTAGAAAAAGCTTCTCATATGTGTTAGCATAGCTAGCTGATACTGGCGATCAGTATGACAGATGAACAGATCGCCACTGGCTTTCAACTAAAGACACAGCAACGCAACAACTGCGGCATGTATTGTGTACGGCTCCTTATGGGTACTGCAATTTTTGGAAGACCCGGAGCGACGTTCCGGTGCTCTCAGGCATAACTGCACCCCAGAGGAGACATATACCACGTGATGACACGTTAGGCTCGTGTTGTGTTCAAGGACCCTGACCTTGGCCAGGAAAAACAGGCACTCGCTTGTTTAATTTGTTTGCGGTCTAGATTTCTTAATTTTTTTTCTTTTTTGCGTGCGTTTATAAATTACCTCGAGGGCCGTACCAAATGGTCTCGCGGGCCGTATACGGCCCGGGGGCCGGAGGTTCCCCACCCCTGTTCTAAAAGCTTCAGTTTCATAGATTTCTTCCCAGTGCTGTTTCTTAAAGCTGCTCTTTACTTTTACACTTCTGGAGGTTTCATGCCAAACACAACATAATGTATTTAATGAGCTAGAGTCTCAAAGATAATTGTGCATAATATAGTTGCAGTACCCACGGGTGACTGAACACAGAATTTAGCTCATGCCTTGTATTCTCCACAGGGTATTTCATACCTTTTTTTCTGAATTGAAAGTTAAGTGTTATAAGGACACTGCACAGAGGTGAGAGGAGGCCGCCTCATCATATTAACCCAATGATTAATCTTCCCTTGCACTGATGTTTTGTGAATTGGGTTTGGGTGTGCTGCAGCTTGTTGTAAGTGACAGGTGACCCGTGCTGTAGATCACACTGCTGAACAACTGCTTGGGGACAGGATCTTGCCCGCCTGACTGGACATCATTTTTCTCCATTTAGCCCCATCTCACACCTGTTATAGGGTGGTCGTCCACATGAATGCTCACGACTCCTCTGGGATAGAGCCCTGTTTTCGCTCGCATTGCTCTGTCATTAACTACCGTAGTCAACAGATGTACACCACTTCTCTGCGGGCTTGAAAGGACATTAGAGGTTTCTCAATACTCTAATTTCCCCTCCTCGACTCCTATCCCCGATTCCTATCCTCGAGACTTAGTGCTGCCCACAGGAGATGCGAGCGGAGGACTGAGGAGGGGAACCGAGGAGAGAGGAGGGGAAGCAGCAGGCGGTTAGAGAAATGAGAACTCCTCTCCTCTGAGCGGTCATTTTAAAGAGACGTCCATCAATGATCACAGGAGGCACAGCAGCCCTCTGTCTGATGGACAGATGTGTTCATGATGACTTATATATTTACTTTTAACCCATTTAATCCCATTGGTCACAATAGTGACCGTAAAACATATTTTCACTTATAAGGCTCTATAAATGTTACTGAATTATATATCAATGTATTTCCAGAAAATATTGGATAAATAAAAGGTCTCAATGAAATGTGCAGTGTCACATGTTTAGTGTAAATTGTCACATGACTTGAGCTGTTTACTTCCTGGTTGCACCAAGAGAAGAGGGTGGCTGCCTCAAAGATCCCAGAAAAAGGGTTAGTAAAGAATGTTAACGTAAACATAGTACAATGATTTTTGGTAAACATAATCTTTAAGGTATTTAGTATTGATAAATGCATTTGCAATAACTTAACTTTTTTTAATGTGGAAACAGAAAGAGTAAACATGTTGACGGCAACAATAGTGACCGGCGGGATAACACAGTGCATCTAGGTATACACATACATTTACACATACATAGTCTTTTAACCTAATTTCTTAATGTGTTGTTTCTTTTAGCTTTACCTTGAGTCAAGTTCTGGATATGTTGGATCTAGGTGACAGCCCTGATAAGGCATGCAACATTACGGTTATCCCTCAAACTGAGAAAGATGCTTTCCTCAGTGATTGTGATAGCGATGGGTCAGATATGGACTATGAGGGGGAGTCAGGCCATTTGCCAGCCAAGCTGTTGAATGCATATGCTGAACTTCAGCAAACTGATCATGACAGGAACAACGTTATCAATGATGATGACATCCCCCTCACCACTACCCCTTCCACACCCCCCTCCGCTGTTCATGATAAAGAGCCAGTGACCTCTATGAGCCAGAAGGTCCAGTCAGAAAAGCCAAGGGCAAAGCTGCAGGTTGTCAAAAATAAAGATCGAGTGTTCAAACGATCGAAGAGGCCCGCCTCCACTGTTATTCCAAAACACATAGTATACAGCCCAAATGCTGCAGAATGTATAAAACAAAGTTGCCCTGATCCAATGGATGTTTTCTTACTAATGTATCCACCTACCCTAAGAGAGATCACCATTGAAATGTCCAACCTCTACTCCACCCAGACCAAGGACCAGCAACTGTATCTGAGTATGGAGGAGCTCCTCACATTTTATGGGATCCTTATCACCTCTGGGTACAGCTCTGTTCCAAGAAGACACATGTACTGGTCACTTGACAGTGATGTACACAATGAAAGCATTTCAGATGCAATGCGGAGAAATCGCTTTGATGAAATAATGGCCTCAATTCATGTGGTTGACAACACAAAGATCACTGACGACCCATTTTTTAAAGTTAGAACCATCTTCTCCGAGCTCAATCAGTCATACAAAGTCATGCCATTTCAGGAATGGCTGTCGGTGGATGAGAGCATGATCAGATACTATGGTCGCCATGGATGTAAGCAATTCATAAGAGGTAAACCAATCCGCTTTGGTTACAAGCTATGGAGCCTTGCCTCATCCAGTGGTTACATGCATCACATGGAGCCATATGGTGGATCCCACACTCTCCTCCCTGAGACGGGGTTAGGTCAGGGACCCAGTGTTGTCCTTGGTCTTGCAGAGCAAGCTCAGGTGCCTCAAGGTTGCAAGTTCATCCATGACAACCTCTTCACTTCTCTTGGACTCCTTGATGAAATGACAAAAAGAAGATATGGGAGCTCTGGAATAATGAGGCAAAATCGTCTGTTTGATGTCCCATTCAAGCCCCAGAAAGAATTCATGAAGTTATCTCGGGGAACATCTGAGGTTTTGACCCAAGGAGACAAGTTGCTGGTCCGTTGGAGAGACAATAATGTTGTCACAGTGGCAACAAACATGGAGGAGAAATACAGTGAGACCTTTGTCAAGAGATGGAACAAGGAGCAACGTACATTTGACAAAGTCCCACAACCAAAATGCATCAACCTATACAATGAGCACATGGGTGGTGTTGACCTTCATGACCAACAGGTATCAAGATACCATATCTCGATCAGGTCTAAAAAGTGGTGGTGGCCCATCTTTGCATGGTCTCTCAACAGTGCACTTGTGAACAGCCATTTATTTTACAGAGACATTATGAGAGGGACCATTGATCTGCTCACCTTCTCAAAGATAGTGGCGCAGTCACTTATGCAAAAGTTTGGCACAAAACCACTGAGCCAGGGCAGGAGATCTCTGCTGGCAGCTACTGTTGCCATGGACAGTAGAAAGGGCACTATAAGTGAATGCAAAGAGGCTATAAAAAAAACAAAGCAGACCCAATAAAGGCTGTGGAGATGAAGTACAAAGGACAAGTCCATGACAAAGGGGAAAAGTCCAAAATGACTGGAATGTTTTGGAAAAGAAGTTCAAGTTAATCAATCAGTCGATTGTAGTTCAAAATAGTGATGCACAAACTAATCGTGCACTTGGTTCTAAAGCCTATGATATATATATTGCATTTTTGTGTAGGACACCTATTCTACATGCTACCTTTTCTAAATGTTACCTTTTATGTTCAATGTGAATGAATCACACAACTGGCTGTACAGTTGTAAAAGTTCAAATTTAACAACAGATGTATAATATTAATGTTTCAATACATGTTGCACTAAAATAGAAATGTTGAAAAACGCTGATGGTTGTTCATATTGGTGTTGTATCAGGAATTTTGATGTGTAAAAAGTCTAACTAGAATTTGATGGGGATTGCCAGTGACAGAATTTTAAATGTGTAGATAACTAGGCTGGGATGTATACACATTTGGATGACTGCATTGGAGAAGTATGCTAATTCAATATATGTATTTTCACGGCAACACATAATCCCACCGGTTACAATTGTGACCGGCCATAAAACATAACATTTCAACTACTTTTCCATGAGTTTTTTAAAAAACAATGATTGATTTTTTCAAAGGGTTACTAATGACACAAGATTTGGATATTTTCATGTCTGGGAAAAATGTGGGATTAAATGGGTTAATTAATTGACAGTGCGGTATAATGAGACAATAACAGGCTACAGATGCGGACATATACACACACATATATTTATATAATAATATACAATTTCAGAATCAAACAAGTATGAGAGCACTCTCATAATAACGTAACACAATCAGAGACTGGATATATCCCCCCCCCCCCTCTCTCTGGTCGCTGAAATGGGGAATTGGAATTACGGGCCAAAAGTTGTATTTACAAGTATTAAAAGTAAACATAGGACACCAAACCAACTGAAGCCCGTCTGTCCACCGCATCTACGCACTGTATAACACACACACACCTACAGCTCCTAAAGCATAATCAGGCTACAGCCGTTGTGTATTTTATTATGTGAAGCACTAAATGGTCTTAGAAAAATATCGACTCTTTGTTTGTAGATATCTACTAAACTACAGCATACAAATACAGAGAGTAATGCAGGCCTGTTATACTGAGTGATATATATTTTACCCATCAGTGTCTCCTCGGTTAGAGCTCCTCCAGAGAGCCTCCTCGATGCTCGGTCCTCAATGTGCATTTAGAGAAACGAGATGTCCTTCAACATGGCGCGCTGAAATCCATTTCCGGGTCACTACCGGAGGAGTCGAGGAGGGGAAATTAGAGTATTGAGAAACCTCTATGGACTCTCAGAATTGTTGTTTTTTTGCAAAGGTTTTTTGGCTGTTGTGAATGCCAATTTAGAGATGTGGCCCCTTGGCATTTCTGTCTCTCAGACGCATTGACCTTTGCGGTATCAATGTCTGACACACTTCCTCTGAGGACCAGTATCCAACAAAGACTGACCAGCTATGGGACACTCGTGTGTCGTGCTGTTGGTAGGTTGTCGAGGTCTGTTAACAGGTGTTAAGTTTTGTTCCAATTGACATTCATGAGTCCATCATCTTTTTTATACTTTACAACGTAGGGTTCAAAATGAATGTAAAACTAAGAAAGCAAAGTAGTACACGATGAATAGAAATGTAACAATGTGATGCTCTGCTGGTGTTTTATATTACTTCCCTCTACTTCTGACTTGAATACGTTGCGACTGATTCCAGTGTGCAAATTCATAACTTTTACTATCTTGCACACTCTTTAATCCTATGCAACAAAATATCTAATTTGGAAAAACCTAGCTTCTGCATGTGTACCTATTTTTGGCAAGCCAAGCACTACCAGAATTGTCGCGTGGTTTAAAGGTCAGTTTAGGCGAGCACCACCAAAATACGTATTATTTCCAAAAAGATTTGCTGCTTTATGTGGTTTATTGAAACTGATTTTATTAGAACCTGTTCAGAGAAGTGTAAAGTTGATATATGTATACCAGTATTCACCTTACACAATACATGTATGCTGTAACTAATAAATCCAGTTCCCACATATTGCGTGCAGCATTACTTTTGTGTTAATATGGTTGGTCTGGACTGGTTTCAGTGTTAGCGAATTAGCTAATCTTACTCTAAATCTTTTTTGCAGTATCCCTATAATGTGTCCAGTCATTCAAAAATACCCACACACTCACACACACTCACACAAGATTAATGATGAATATGAGGACTGAATCATACTAGTCAATGTGCGGCTGAGTAAAGCTAGGCTGTCAAAGTTCAAACGCTGCAGGGCTGATTTTCAAGTGAAGAGCATTTTTTTTTTTAAAATGTCTACAAATCGCTAATTAAGCTGAGTGAGCTTCTGACTATAAAAGCCATAATGACATGTCGCTATGGACCAGATGACCTGTTTCAACTTGTATTACTTTTTTTTCTTTTTCCTCTGCAAATTGGAACTGTGATCAGCATCATTAACTCAAAAGAGCCCTCTTGATCTACTGTAATCTGATGTTGAAAACATACAATATGAAAAATACTACAGTTGGCAAGCTTGAGCTGGTTAATACACTAAAGGATAATTGGTCAGATACGCACTACCGACAATTGCTGGGGTGTTCCAAATATATGGCTGGTTTAAACCAATTATCTGGCCAAATGATCCCGTAGTGTGAGAGGTTTACAGACATAATCCTAATATTTACAATTGGATCGGTATGGACCTCATTTCAAATCAGACTGAAACCCTGAAATTAACTTAAAGCAGCAGTTTACCCGATTTGAATTTGAAAGAATAACGCTTTATTTGCTTCCCGTGTTGCAAAATGTAAAGGCCTTTCTTTTTCTGTCCGCCCAACTATTATACCACCCACCATTTCTTTCTTCATTCTTAGAGCAACAGTTACTCACAATGTTCTTTTTTAACGTCATGTTTGATGATCATACACATTTCAGATCCCAAGGTCCTTTAATAGCTTCAGTATAAAAACCAAGGGTACAGTCCTGCTTCTTGACTGAATCCTCTGCAGTGTGGGCTCTTACAAATATAATAAAACTGTTAAATCTGTTGTTAACACTGGAATACACTGAGAACATAGATTAAGGTCTGTTTTTCTTGTAACAATATATCTACTTGACACACCTTATGCTGTGTAGTGTGTAACTAGTCTCAGTTTGCCTTCTTTAACAATACGTCACAAAGGATGTCCTTGTTGCGAGAGGTCATTCAATAAAATCTTCCACTGGAGGACTTTCAAAAGTCACTTAAAAACATGTGTGCGGATAAACTTAAGAACAAACAATACTTTGTCTGACGGATGCAGATATATGAGTTTAATTTTGCCAACATTTAACACTGCACAGTTATTGCTTTATGACCCTGATGTAAAAACCAATATCTTCCACACAATAGTACAAGCAAACGTTTGCCAGCACATATCATATGCCTTTTTCTGTTTGTGTGTGTTCATGCATGAAGTGCATCAGACACACAAGCCTTCTTGTTAGCTCGGCAGTCCTGGGCATGTGGCTGGCCTTGTGGGAGTATTGATTGAATCGACATTGCATCCAGAGTGCCACTAACAACATGTGGAGGAATGGCTTTTGTGTGCAGTAGTTGTGGTTGTGGGTGAAGTAGGGTGGTTCCATGTTGTGGTACACACTCATTTGTACACTTTCTGCAACTTCAAAGGTCAGAGAAGACAGCGGATACAGCATAAGCGCGGTGAAAAGAAAGGCCACTGTCCTCCACTTGAGTGATGTCTTTGAGTGATTGTGAAACGTGCTCTATCAAAGATTCAGAAAGAGCCGGGACGCTCTGCCATTCAGGTCCAACAGAGTGACTTTGGGTTACACTTGGTGTGATGGGATAGCTAATGATAATTGAAATTGCTCCTCTCTTCACTCCAAACAAGTGGCTGTTTGTTTCCTCAAATGCCCCCTTCTGTGCTCCCTGCAGATAGTCCTCACCCTTTGTCTCTCCCTCTGACCCAAACCTCCTCCCTCTCTCCACCCTTTTTCCTCGCTCCCCACCTGCCGAATCTCCCTAACTGAGTTGTTCTTCATTCACCATATCCTTCCTTTTCCACTATCTTCACCCCAGTTTTTTGGCTTCTGTCTAGGAGCAGAATGTCAATGGGTGCTTGGAAACACTGGTTAGGATTCACACAGCGTGCCTGGCGTAAGCTCATTAGAGTAATTAGATGTTCTGTCACTGTTGTTCTTCCCTTGAAATGGAGGCCATTGTTTTTGTCTCTTCTCCTCTCCTATCATTTGACATTCTGGCGTCTGCATGGGCACAATGAGAAACAAAAGAAGAGGAAGCTAGTGAAGGAGAGAGCATTTAAGATAGTCGGAGCAACATTGAGACAGAGGGCTAGGGAGGTAAAAGGGAGCAGAACATTGCACTTTGTTAGAGGAAAAGCAAATGGGGAACATTAACATTAAAGGAAAGGATTCATTTAAGGGCCCAAACACTTAACAGGTCCAGCGGCGTATGCAAGGAGGCCTGAAGAAATAGAACTGTAGAATCAGAGGGTTTTAGTGTTTGCATATCATTTTCCTATTTCCAATATCTGAGACTTTTTCAAACACACTCAAACACATAAAGTACATACATATTCCTCTATACACACATGGCAAATCCTTTTTATTCAATGATCAAATATAGTCTGACGTGTGTGTCATGTCCTTGTCAGTGTCTTTTCTCGTCAACAAGACTTTACGCCCAACTTCAAGCTTTTGAAGAAGAATTATAATCCTTAAGTGTTGCTGGATCACGCTTGGCAAACAGACAACCGAAGTGCAGCTCTTGGCTCAGGGGGCTCAGAGTACATTTGAAATCTGTCTGCCTTTTTTTGGCTTTGATAATCTAAGCTTTGATAGAACAACTGCATAAGACTAAGCAAGCATACGTTCTTGTTTTCACTTCACCAAGCCTGCTTATTTAATTAATAATCTATAATGTGAAAGAAAACGTGGTTTTTACTGCACAAAAAAGGAAGTAATTAAGTAAGCTCTCATTTTTGGACCAGTCAGTTTTAAATACATGTCTTTGCAAATGTCCTAAACGCAGATACACAAACCCCTCCCCTCCCCAACAGCCATATTAAATTGTCTTTCCTGGGAGGCAACAGGAAGTGTTGAGTTTGCTTTACCAGCATTAATCATTAATACAATGTTTGTCTTTTGCCTTTTTAGTGTCACTCTTCAAGAACACTTTGTCCCAGTAATGTGTCAAAGCCTTTTTTTAGGAAATATGTGACACTAATGTACACCTGAAGCAAGAGAAAAGAAGAAAAAAGGTACTCACTGGCATTATTATCGTCAAATTACATTTTTTAAAGTCTTTGAGTTCAAAGATGAAAGAATATAAAACATGAGCACTTAAAGCAAAGTGAATTTCTTTGATCCTCTGGCCACAATCTGAAGTCTCCATCCAAAGCACTCCACCACCTTAGCACAGACTACATTATCGGACGTCCCTCGTTCACATTCGAGCACATTTGCACAGCTTATAAGCAATATATTTAGCATATTAAGTACATTTGGAGCGCTGCCCTGAATTCAGGAGTTGTTTTTGTATTATTTTATGTGGCATCTTACCAGAACAGACTCTTTTTCAGCTGCCGTTCACCGGGAACTTCTTAATATTAGATTTATAATACTGGGACTGTGGGTCATAAAGACCTGGATATTTTTATACCTTTTTTAAAAATAAGTTTCTCCTGTTCGATTATAATAGCCTCAAGACCACAGACAAAGACTTGCTTTCTCCTGACAAGGGAAGAAATCAAAGTAGACGTGCGGGATATGCAAAGGTAGAAAGAGATGCGATTCATGACCAGATTCTCAAAGTTTATAAAAATGCATTGCAGAGTTGATACAGACACAATAACAAGGCATATGTAATGCATCATATCTCCTATTGTACAGATTGCTTATTAATTGTCAACCGGAGTCAGGTACATTTCCCTGTAGCTCTTTGAATTGAACTGAAAACACCTCAATGTTTTTGTGCTGCGCTAGCCTGCTTCAGAAGGAAGCTAATATTGGACTGATGCATATGATAATAAACGGATAAAAACATTGCAAATATTATTTCCACCACAAATGTCACAATTATGTCAAGTCTTATGATAATATGAAGGTCATATTGTCTGCACGGAAAATTCACTTGTTTTTGTTGCTGACTTTTAAGTTCCTCTTGAAACAAAATGCACTATTCTCCTATCTCCCTTAATAATAATAATTAAAAAAACGAATCATCTAAATGTATTAACTTACAATCACATCCTTAGGTGCCCTGATAGAAGTTTCACATGACTCATTTTTAGTGCTTCTCAAGGTGACTAAGATAACATCTTGATGAGTGCTTCATTAAGTGCTTTCTGGAAGTAAAACATTTCCATAGCTGTATGTCAAGATGTTAATTCACCAAGAATGTGAGGGAATAATAATGGGGAGGTTGACATAGCAATTTCCTGGTGTGATGCCGTACTTTTGAGAATAAGAAATTATTAAATCTTTGGCTGATTGAATAGAGGTCCACTCCTGCCCTGCAGGATGCTCCTCTTGATGGAAAGCTGCTGGCTCATGGCATGCTAGCTACTCCTTTCACCTTTGAGACTAATATTTGATAAAATGCACAATGCAACATACTCTCTTAGAAAGGTATGTTCCTTAATAATAATAATACATTTAATTGATATAGCGCTTCTCATCTGCCAAGACAAATCTCGAAGCGTTTAATGACTTTATCTCAAATTGTTACTTAAAAATAATGGAATGATGCCAATCCCTTGCCATCAATTCAACATCACTAACTTTTAAAAAACATCTAAAAATGCAAATGTTTTTTATTATGGTGGTGTTATCCATAATCCACTTAAAGCCTTGTAACTAAACCATTGTTCTTTTGTCTCTTAATACTGTTTTCATTCCCTTTGTGAGAATCAATCAAGTACCATGGAAAGCTGGATTCGAAGGACTATTTTATTTTCGAGAACAAACAATCCATTAGCTTTTTCAGTGTCATGAGTGCCTTTTGAGCGATTATTTGGGCATGCTTCTCTCCATTTCGATCCAGCAGAGCACTTGTTCTTTCCCAGCCTCCTCTAACCTGTCTTCCTCTTCTCTATGTCACTGTATCAATCCCTCCCTACCCCATCCACCCCCCTATATTCACTGACTCAATTAGCCAGAGCTCTTAAAACCGGCTTTCAACATGTTTCCTTCAAAGTTAGATCATCTTCTTACAGCAGATTTTCATTACAGATAAACCTTGCATATGTAAATACTGTATATATACAGTTCTGCAACACTTGCTCCTTAACAAAGCCTGAGAGGCAGAAAAGACAGAGTGCTGGAATGAGCATTATGTGGAGGTTCCAGGCTGCCACTTCTAATCCCCCACAGTCAGCGCTGCCAATCGACAGCGAGTTGCTGCTGATGGCGCTTTATGTGAATGTGGTGGGAGTGACAGTACACTCCCACAGAGAGGCAGAAGCAGCTCCAGCCGCCACTGATTAATCCTCATGCTGGAGCCACTAATGATTTATTAATTTGAAAATTACAGAGAGCTGGCCATGATAAGTAAACTCAAGAGCGATGGGAGGTTGGTATAGACTGGGAGACTTAACACTTCCTCCCGCCTCAGTGTAGTCTATGCCTACCTAAATGTATGTCTGTGTGAGCCAGATGATCTACACCCAGGGGGCACATCAAAAGGCACATTCTCATATTGACATCAGTGAAAATGTTCCAATAGAATATTTTTCTGATGGAAAATGTTGCATGGGTCTTTTTCCCCGCAGGCGGCAGTTTAGCAGCAGCACAAGACTCCTGCTGTGACGATATTGATGTTTGATCATAGGGTGTCTTATTTTAAACATAGGGATAGATTTTATTTTTGTGCATGAAAGGCAATTAGCTCGTTTTTTCATGTTTGGCTCAGACTGAAATTGAAAATGTTATGCTGAAGTTGGGCAACAGTGTATTTAAACGTCTGCCAGCTGTCTTGGTCTGAAGCAGGCTGTGGCTTTCGGAGCCCGGGGTGCTAGATTCTGTTGAGACTCATTATTACACAGTCTCTTTACATCCATGAGAGCGCATACAAAACATACAGCTCTAATTCACACCGAATGAAATTAGTTATGATCAGAATACCGTGACATGATGCTCTCTGAGATGATGGTTGTTCTTTGGTAAGCCATTATAGCAAAGGATGTGTCAACATGAACAGGGTGAGCATCTTGCTCAGTCTGTGTTAATAGCTCCAGTCACTGAATCACCACCAGTGAGCCCCGCTGACTGGATTCATTTTTGCTCATTAACGTTAATTGAAGTAGCTCTCTTCTTCTTGCTGAACCTTACGTAACCACATGGGCCGTGGGCCATGGGCCGTAACCACATGGGCCGTGGGAAGGACATAAAGATCTCGCTACAGTCTTGAGGCGATGGTGGGCTTTGCTAACTGGAAGTCATAATGATGTTTCTTGCTAGGAAGTGTTGGCAGTCTGGCAGTGTAGAAATGTAATAAAGGAGAATATGGGAATGGATCTTGGTGCTACTGTGTCATGGCCTGCTCTCTGCATAAGGTATCCAAATCTGATGATACCAATGTTTCATAGTTATTAGACATTCCCCTTGTCTTTTGGGTCCTTATTCTGCCTGGGAAACCATTATCTTTAACCATCCACACATTTTGTTTTGAAGTTACCAATCTGGTACTTGTTTTTAAAGCTCGGTTGGATGCTACACAATCAGATGCTGTTGGTACCTGTACATGTGGATAGATATGTAAATTGTAATCCCTGTAAATGTTGCTGTATGATGTCCTTTTGTTGTTCTGTTGTTTATGTTTTTATGTCTTCATGTGGAACCTACTGCTGCAGGTCTCCCTTGAAAAAGAGATCAATGATCTCAATGGGATTTCACCTGGATAAATAAAGGTTTTGAATTTAATTGAAGTGCCCTGGTAGTTAAAGG